TGTAACGATCCGTTACCCAATAGCAGTCGAGATCTGGGCCATTGGCTCCAAGTCCTGAGGTGCCCGAATCGGAATCGTCGGCGCCCCTTCTCGCTGGTGCTCAGTGAATGACCGAGTCCCTTTGGCGTTTGGACATCCCTTGAAATGAAACCATCGGGGATGGTTTATAGGGGTCATTCCCTCATTTTGTTTATTCCTTGCTGAGAACCAGCAAGTTGTTCTTGTATGGTTGCTTTGAAGCCACGAAACCCCCTCCAACATCTTGAGCATGTCCTGCTTTGAGGGTTCCCCCTTTGGAGTGGTTCTAAAGAAAACAAAACCCATAGGCAGACCACGGTTCCTGTAAAGGGCACATCCAAATGCATCCGGTTCGGCACGTCGCATCGACGCGGCGGGCCATATGGATGGTGAAGTAGGCCAAGGTCTCGTGAGCGAAGAGCCCAGCAGAGGCCTCGCTGATTGAGGCGGACCGGAGGTCGGCTGGAGTTCTGGGGGAAACGTTGCACTTGGTGGGTCCCAGGGTGGGTTCCTTCCTCTTAGGATTCGATTACTATGGCTGCTTTTGGAGGTCCAAAAGCAGGACCTTGAGGCACTGCCCTCAAGGGTTCCAGGAGACAAAGCGTTGGGCACATCCTGCGCATCTGCAATGCTTTTATAGGGCGTGTTGGTTTCCTGAACGACATGGGCCCACCAGTGTCCGCATCTAAACACTCGCATTTGGTGCCAAAAATCGAGTGATGTGAGTTCCACCCCACCCCACCCATGACCCATGACCTGGCAATCCCCGGTCGTTCCTGAGGGATCTATGCAAATGAGCCCTGAGGGTCCAAGCCCCACCCCTAGAATGGGGTCGTGGGGTCCTTCCAAATAGTCAGGAATATAGAGGGGTAAACTCTTGGCAATGTAACGATGCTGCCACTTGCATGACTTTGTTTGTTGGGGGCAGGAATCGGAAGTACAGCCCCAGAAACTACTTGCAACTACTTGCCCCATGAATTCTGTGATTCGCAAGCCCCAACAAACCATAGAACTCTGCAAGCCCGGCAGGCTGCTCTGAGGCGAGCGGCAACCTTGCCGGGGGAAAACGCCCAAGGTATGGTCTACGTGCGCCCGTTGATCCGCCAATTTGACTTTGCGTCAAAAGACTACTAAGAACTAAGCGAGCCAAACTGGAATCAACTGAACTGGGGCTTGGTACGGCTTTTCGTTTTCAGCCCAGGCCGCACAGTATTCAGGTGGCAGCAGGACAACTTTGAGAAACTTTGAGATTCCACCCCACCCCCGCGCCCCAAACAAAACTAGCATGACTTGGGCTTGTCTCCACACGGAGAACCCGAATGCGATGGGTTTCATGTTCTCATCTTCTCAATTCAACATCCAAAGCAGCCTCTCAACGACCAATTCTAGGGGTTGATTCCCCATTCTTTTCAATCAGCGTTCTTTTCAAAACCGGCTCCGTTTCCCCTGGATTTTGATGGTTTCCTGAAAAGATTCGGATCCTGGGTTTGGAATGGAATTGGAAGATACCCCTAGACCGTTAGAATAAGAATGCCCTTGTTTCTGTAGTCTATTTTAGTAGGGGAACCCTCCCCGCAAAAAAGGGGTGAGAAAGGGCACTATTGGGAGACCTAGTCTCAATCACCCATGTCGACTTCTCCACCTCGCAACGACCCCGGCGCCCGTCTCACGGGCGACTCAAACTGCCCGCCTCACTCTTCCGCAAGGTCTCCACCTCCTGGATCCGGCGGAGCGCGGCCGGACGGAGCTGCGTGGAACTCTTCAACTGAGCAGATATTTTGTTGGGCACCCAGACGCTCCTGGTTTCGGCTTCCAATGGAAGACCCAGACCCTCCATTGGACACCCCAGAGGGGTGCTGGGGTCTCAAAACCTGGCGGTTTGACAGCCCAAACTGACAGACAAATTGGAACTCCGCGGAACCTACGGAGCCTACGCGAGCTGCCTACGCGGAGGCAGCTCCTACGCAAAAACAGCCTACGCAAACGGCCTACAAAGGCCTACGCGTGCTCAACTGGAAATCCATTGCTCGGGCCTTGAAACGGAAAACCGGAAGCAGCCCCCTCTGCGGTCACAAGTGGGTCAAAATCCCTCACTTCCAGTTGAGTACATTGAGCAAAGAGAGTTGGGACGGGCATTGGCCTCTTTGTCTGTGAGCCTGTCAACATCTTTCAGAACTATTTATAAATTTCCAGGAACTATTTGTAAAAGTGGTCCTACAGTAGCTCAAAACTTGCACCACCAAATCAAGAACCAAGGCCATGACCAGCTTAAGGCGCCCTGAAATGGCGATGTCAGCGGCAGCTTTTTTCCCACCTCCGTACTTCTGCACTAGCGCTGCCCTCTACCCACGCTTCTTGCGCTTCGAGCCCTTCGGGCCCTCATGCCAGGACGCCAAGCGGTTTCTCAAACCCGTCGGAAGGTCGGCGCGCGACATGCCCAGGGCGCTGGCCAAAAACTGCGTCACCTGACAGAAAAAGAGAAAGTTGAAATGGAGGAGACTCTCCCAGACCTTGCATTGACCCAGGAATGTACGTTCAATTGTGGCAAGGGTCCAAAGTCCAGTCCCTATGTCAGCTTCACTGGAAAAAACAAATTTATTTTGAAGAGAAAACCGTATGCCTAACATGCCCCAAACCTTCCATCAATCAGTCAGAAACACTCATACGGAAACAGGCGAGGGTGTGTGGAGAGGGCAAGTGCGCAGCTTTCGGATGCAACATCGGACGCTGGTGCCAGGATGTTCGAGTCAACACTGATTATGCCACCTTATCTTATGTTTGCCAAATAGTTTCAATAGCCAAAATAATAGTCCACATTGTCATATAGTCATGTGAGCAGGAAAGGAAACTGGCCTGCCAAGCCTGTGCTGTAAGTGTCAAACAAGATTTGAGATGAACCCTTCATGCTTTTCAGCTGCACAGCGGGCCTTTGGCAAGCTCAAGAGTCTGTTCCCATATTGCATTGCCAAATGTGTTGGGTTGGAAGTTTGAAGGCCATTCTGAGTATTGTTATGTTAGATCATTTTTTGTGGGGGGCCTGCCGATTGTTTGTGAAATCGTGCCACAATTGGCCGTCACAAGGCCAGTGCAAGAAACGCGTGTTTCAGTTTTGAACTAAGTTAAGTGAGATGTAACATGTATGACTCTATGACTGTATGACTGTATGACTCCTGTATGACTGTATGGTATGATTCTATGCGAATCACCATATGATCAGCCAGTGACACTGCAAAAGACCACAAGTGACCAAAATCCTGCCCATGAGATCCAGCAAAACGGAAGCGATGCCTGCCTGAGCCAGCGCCCCTTTCTGATCCTTGGCGTACGCGGTCGGGTTGACCACCAAGTCGCCAGCCACCATGCAGGCAGCGGCCATTGCGGCATCTGCCCTGAACTCCTTCGCAGGCCCCAAGTTACTTTCCCAGTGCCAGAAAATTCAGGAATCAAATTTGGACAATTGTCACATGTCACATGTCACATGTCACATAAATAATTCAATGTTAATCAATCATCTGACAAAATGCCACACACACACATGAACATCGCCAATCATTCTGTCAGGAAATGTTCTTGGACTTCTGACTGAATCCTGTAATGTAACATTCACTCCACTCCATCCGGACTCCATCCTTCATGCGTTGCGGTGACCCAACTAGCCTTCCAATCCAATCGCATTGGACCGCAGTCACATGTTTTGTGAAGCCACTCACCATGACCTCAGTTGCCAGACTCTTGACCCTTTTCACAGGACCCTTGGACAAGCTTGCAGTTCCCCGACAGCGCAAAGGATACAATCCGAAGCCAAACATCAATCATGTGATACATCAGCATTTCGAATTTCCCTAGGTACGGTACATGGAACAACTGAACTAGCCTATTTCGAAGCCCCAATCTGCTTAATCCTTGGTTTGGTTGCTGATCTTCCATACTGGACCAGGACCGGACCATACTGCAAAAAATGTGGCAATTTGAATGCTGGAGCATCGGAAACCATGCAACATCGCGCAACCCATAATCTGCAGTCCACAATATGTAATATGCATGCCGAATCCATGACATCATGATCCACTCAGTAAGTGTTCTTTCTATGGATTGAAACGAACACAGAAATTTGGGGCTCCCGCAAATCCACCACAAACCCAGGCGAGCGAGGGCAGGCCTTGATCTCCACGCTGAGCTCCTCAAGGTGCTCAGCGCTCCACCCCTTGATCGGAATGGCGCTGCCCAGGATCATCTTGATGAGCGGCAGCACCTTGTTCAACTCATCGCGCCCCCCACGCATCTTCTCCAAGTCCGCGCTCACCTTCGCCTCATCGGCAAAGAGCTCAGCCATGTCGTCGATCTCGCTGCACTCCTCGAACAGCTCCTCCACGCCCCTGACATCAGCCAAATGTTTCGTCGCGCGGCGCTGATAGAAAAAACCGCATGCCCACAGAACAAAATGTCAAAAGAAAAGGGCTGGGGTTGGGGCTTCTAAAGTTGGACAAGCTCACCTTCCTCACTGGCCTTACACCTTGCCTGCAACCGCACATGTCACATATGGCCAGACTCCTGCTGAGGGAACCCACGTACTGCTGCAATGCTCCATCCCTTGCTCAAATGTCTTACACTTATACTGACTTACAGTGACTTACACTGATACTGCCACTGCCTATACTGTACTTATTTATGCTTGTCACTGTGGCAATGCTTCATCCCTTGTACAACATCATACGCAACCCAGTCCTTCAGCTGGCAACCACGAAAAACCGCCACTTACTTGATCAGAAGTCAATGTTCAGGCGCAGGGGTTCCCCTGCTTCATACTTAGACAAAGTCTATTCGGTGGTTTTCAGTTGGCCAGGAAATGATTAAATGAATCTGCCTGGCTAGGTGAGATACTGCACAGCGGCCGATGTTTTGAAAACCATGACCATTGCAATGTGGGAAAAAAAGGTGACCCATTTTGAGCCAATGCCGTGCCGCCTATAGCTGTCCAGGACTCGCTTGGTGTCCTTCAGCTGCTCGCACGCTTTCTTGAGGTACTGGCTCATAGCCGTCTCGAAGCTTTTGGCAAAGCCCTCCAGGATTTCCAGCTTTCCCTGCTCGGACGGCGCAACCTCTGCCAGGCTGGCCAGGAACTCCTTGTTCAGCGACCGCAGCTTGATTGCCACAGGCAACGCCTGGCCCAGTGCTGAAGCGCTGGCATCGGAGCCAAGATTCTTGTCCGAAGCACCCTCTGCCACCAAAGCCAGCGTCGTGACAAGAGTTGTCACTTCCTGGAGCACAGCTGTGGGAAATCAAGCGCGAACGGGGGAAGCATGCCCAGTCACTGTGCAACTACTCGACACTTGAGGAGCTTGGTATTACTAAAATTTGCACAACCCCACCTTCGGAGCCACGCCCTCAAACATTTTGCAGATCTTCGCAGAGGCCTTGGGCATGCCGAGAGACTTCACCATCTCCACCGCAAAGTCGCGCGAGCTCTGCTCCAGAGCCTTCTCCAAGCGCCCCACCGCCTCTCCCAGCGCCGGCACCAAGTCTCCCACCTCAGGCGCAGTCTCCTTGAGCGCTCGCCATAGGGGCAGCACGTCCTCCGGAGTGGGACCCACAATTTTCTGGAACTTCATCAAGGCTGGCAGCATCGTCTTGACGAGCAACCTGAAGGCAGCCTTGTCTTTGCCCGCCTTCTTCAAGTACACCTCTGCCAAACCTGACAATGCAGAAGGAAACACTTTTTCAGGCACCCTGCAAAGGCGGGCTCAACTGCCCCAACTTGCCAGTGTCTGAAAGTATTCTGGCAGAAGCGCCTGGAAACACCAACTGCCAACTGTAGTCAGGTAAAAGCAAGGTGTGCTGTCTCGCATGCCTTATTCAAGCCCCAGTGCAATTATGGGCATGCCAAGTTCATGAGATAACAAATGTCAAGACTGTTGAGAGTCAGAAGCAAACCCATCAGAAGTCGCAAAGCGTCAGGGGATCAAGCTATCTTGAAGACCGCCATCTGTTCATCGACCCTTTTTCTGCTGGAAACCCTGCGCCTGCAGTCACCGCCTTTTCCATGATCGCGCGCTCCGCCGCGGCATCTTTGCTGCCCTTCCATCTGGGATCCACAATCCCATCCTCCTCCTGCCAGCGCTCCCCCAGCAGAAGGTCAAGATCTGCCAGGGCCTCCTGGGTGTCAGGGATGGTGCCCTCCAACATCTCCAGCGTGGCCAGGAAGCTCTTCTTGGCATCCTGGGCGAGACATGGACCTCTACAGAACTTACCTTTTTGCAGTCTGGGAAGAAAGAACCAGGCCAGACAAGCAAGATTCGATATGAAAAGGAAAGATAAGTCTGGCAAAGCATCAAGCTCCTCAGAGGACATGTCCTCCGCAGCTCGCTTCTCCACCATCTGCTTGATGCTAGGCAGCGAGATCAGGCCCTGCCACAACTTCATGGCCGCGTCGCTGTCAGGCGTGTTGGCCTCACTTGCCCATGAAGGAGCTGGAAATACAAAGTTAGCCTTTTGGGGTCATGTTAAAAATGACCAAAATGAGAAACCAAAAGGCAAGAAGGCCGGCTTTGCACAACTGGGCGACGATCTCATCATGCAACTTCTCCAACTTGGACTCCATGCTCGCCAAGCACTTGAAGACTGCCCGCTCATCCACCGCTTCCTTGGCCAGCTGCGTGACTTCTTCCCAAAGAGACCTGCTCAGGCGCCAGTACAAATTTCAATGAAATCCATCTATCAATCATGATAAGCTTGGGCTTATTGGCCCTGTTCCTAATCGCGGGGGCCTAATCGCAATCCATAATCCAGAGGCCCTTCCTTCTTGTGGTCAAGAACGGGATCTTCTTAATCCGTAATCTACACTGCAAACTTTGTGTCAGAACCGGAGCGTGGGAAATCCGTGCAAACCATAATCTACAATCTGCAAGCCAAATAATCAATATCCGTACTCTGCAAATCCAATCGGGTTTCAAACAGCAAGATTCTTCACCTGCAATGCTGCAATGCAATCTTGGAATCTTGGCAATTAGTCTAGTCTTATTTAGATGCTGCAAATTGTGGGTGAACACCTCATGATGCAAGTGGCGACCATCAATCCAACCCATACAATCTGCAGCCCGCAACATCAGCACAAACCAACCTGCAACAAAAAGCACCCCCCGCATTTTCCACAATGCCCTAGGCTACTTCTAGCAGAACTGCAGGGCTGGCAGCATTTACACATGCAAGAACTTGTTGGCCCCTGCCAAGAAAAGTGGAAAGGTCAAGGGACATGTGACGTGTTTGGCAAACGAGCGCTGTATACAATTCACCGATAGCAGGCCTCAGCTTTGCGTTGGTCTTGAACATCAGGTTGCACCTGGCTGAGAAGCCAATCCCGCAGACAACCTTCTGGATGCCCATCTCATCACCAGTGAAGTCGGGCCGAATGGCCAAAAACTTCTGCACATCCAGCAGGACTCTCGTGCTCACCCCTGTATTGTTCACCACACCGTCGTTCTGTGGAGCGAGGGTCAGCGGCGCGCCAGACACGATGCCAATCCTGGAAAGGAAGCCCTGTTTGCCTGTGAGAGGGGCCGTAAACAAGCTCCGCTGAATTGCCCACTGCATTGCTCCATGCCAACACTGACAATCTGACAACTGCAATTTTTTGCACTCTCTACAGACATAACACGTGTCACATGTCATGTGACATGTTGACCCTCATGTGGACTGCTTCCTGCCAACAGCCTCACCAAACTAAACAACATGGTCCACCTTGCCAACAGGCGAGTAAGCCGTAAGCGCCAGTACAAAAAAAAAACAAGTCAAGTTTCTGAAACCGCCTTGACACAGCTAATGACATGAAACTGCTGTCCTGGCCAGATCTGGCAACCACCAGTCACATGGGATGTGGCTCATGATCTCTTCCACCCGGGTGACCGTCCGCATCTTGTCCATCCAAGCATTGAAGGCATGGTGCTGGGTTGTCAAGATGACGCCCTGCATGTCAGAGTCTGGGTCCCCGTAGCGCTGCTTTAGCATCCAGCAGCTGAACCCTGTCCAAGATGTCTCCCTCAAGACGATGAAGCGGAAGAGCAGGTCTGATTGCAAGTCAATGCTGGCCTTCAGGGCACAAGCAAGGGAGTGACATTCGACTGATGATCTTACCAAATCTTACAATGTGACTGTCGAATCTTTCCAGTCTTATCACAATCTCAGACAATCTCACCAACCACCTGTTACCATGCAAGTAACAAGATGTCCCTGCTCAATTCAAATAAATCAAGTTGCAAACTCCCAAACAGGTTGGTGAATCTATCTTTGGGCCAGGATGGTATTTATGTTACGCTACATACATATTGCCCCAAGTCTTTCAGGGTTGATTTGCAAAGCGGCAAAGCAGTTACTGAAATAAATAATAATATATGTATGCAACAAAGCAACATGTAACAGGCCAACGATTTGTAATTCGCAATACGGCGATACAGTGTATTGCCACACACAGGCACTGCAAACATAACGACATCTGTGATGTGAATGAACAGGCGGCAACACAGTCAACCGGCGCAGAAAAAAAAGCGCTGCGCACAAACCAAAAAGGTTGACATGAAGTCTGTGAAGTGAGAAGAAGCATAAAAACTTTCAAGAATGCAGCCTTGGCATCACAAGCTACAAAGACCGGCGAATACGGTATGTAAGGCGCCGGGCCCGGCGCCTTCAACGCACACCAAGAATAGCGAAAATCGGAAACAATACAGTCTTGGCATCACATGCCATAAGGATCAACGAAGACTACATCACACACCGTCACCTTACATACAGTGCCGGGCCCGGCACCTCCAAAGAGATTAAAAAACAATAAAATGAAGAGAACACAAAGGCTATATTCGATTCAATTCAATCACATTAAGATTAAAAATACGGTGCCGGGCCCGGCACCAAAAGGACTTCACAAAGGATTAAGAATGAAAAGAATACAACATTTGAACTGGAATCAACAGCCACAAGGACCGGTGAAAGCTACATCACATCATGTAAGGTGCCGGGCCCGGCACCAGGACAGGACATCACAAACGGTGCATAATGAAAAGAATACAACCTCGGAACTGGAATCAAAAGCCAGAAGGACCGACGAAAGCTACATTATGTAATGTCTACAGTGCCGGGCCCGGCATCTTCAAAGAACATCACACATCAAAAAGAATGAACAGAATACAACCTGGCATGACCTAGCATCACACGCCACAAGGACCGATGAAAGCTACATCACCTCATGTAAGGTGCCGGGCCCGGCACCTTACATGTGATGTAAGGTGCCGGCCCGGCACCTTACATGTTATGTTTGGTGCCGGGCCCGGCACCAGGAAAGGACACCACAAATGAAAAGAATACAACATTGGAATTGGAATCAACAGCCACAAGGACCGGTGAAAGCTACATCACATTATGTAAGGTGCCGGGCCCGGCACCAGGACAGGACATCACAAACGGTGCAGAATGAAAAGAATACAACCTGGGAACTGGAATCAAAAGCCAGAAGGACCGGCGAAAGCTACATTATGTAATGTCTACAGTGCCGGGCCCGGCACCTTCAAAGAACATCACACATCAAAAAGAATGAACAGAATACAACCTGGCATGACCTAGCGTCACACGCCACAAGGATCGATAAAAGCTACATAACCTCATGTAAGGTGCCGGGCCCGGCACCTTACATCACCTCATGTAAGGTGCCGGGCCCGGCACCAGGAAAGGACACCACAAAGGAAAAGAATACAACATTGTAATTGGAATCAACAGCCACAAGGACCGGTGAAGCTACATCACATCATGTAAGGTGCCGGGCCCGGCACCAGGACAGGACATCACAAAGGATTCAAAGGATGAATAATGAACAGAATACAACCTGGAAACTGGAATCAAAAGCCAGAACGACCGGCGAAAGCTACATTACATCATGTACAGTGACGGGCTGGCACCATCAAGCAACATTACACATAATAAAGAATGAAAAGAATACAACCTGGCATCACAAGCCAGGACAAGACACAAAAAATAATGAAAAATGAAAAGAATACAACCTAGGAACTGGAATCAAAGCCAAAACGACCGGGGAAAACCACAGTCACATTACATTATGTACAGTGCCGGGCCCGGCACCAGGACAGGACACCACACACAGAATAAAGAATGAAAAGAACACAACCTCGCATCACAAGCCACAAGCCACAAGGACCGATGAAAGCTACATCATCTCATGTAAGGTGCCGGGCCCGGCACCTTACATGAGTTGATGTAAGGTGCCGGGCCCGGCACCAGGAAAGGATACCACAAAGGAAAAGAATACAACATTGGAATTGGAATCAACAGCCACAAGGACCGGTGAAAGCTACATCACATTATGTAAGGTGCCGGGCCCGGCACCAGGACAGGACATCACAAACGGTGCAGAATGAAAAGAATACAACCTGGGAACTGGAATCAAAAGCTAGAAGGACCGGCGAAAGCTACATTATGTAATGTCTACAGTGCCGGGCCCGGCACCTTCAAAGAACATCACACATCAAAAAGAATGAACAGAATGCAACCTGGCATGACCTAGCATCACCCGCCACAAGGACCGATACAAGCTACATAACCTCATGTAAGGTGCCGGGCCCGGCACCTTACATCACCTCATGTAAGGTGCCGGGCCCGGCACCAGGAAAGGACACCACAAAGGAAAAGAATACAACATTGGAATTGGAATCAACAGCCACAAGGACCGGTGAAAGCTAATTACATCACATCATGTAAGGTGCCGGGCCCGGCACCAGGACAGGACATCACAAAGGATGAAGAATGGAAAGCATACAACCTGAGACCTGGAATCAAAAGCCACAAGGATCGATGACAGCTACATCACCTCATGTAAGGTGACGGGCCCGCCACCTGAAAAGGACATCACCAAGGATGAACCCGCCAAGAATAAAGAATGAAAGTAATATACTACGGGAACACAAGCCACAATGATTGTTGAAAGCTACATCACCTCATGTAAGGTGCCGGGCCCGGCACAATGACTAAAAGAACATCACCAAGGATGAAGAAGGAAACAAATACAACCTAGGAACTGGAACACATCATGAAAGGTGCCGGGCCCGGCACCTGGTAAGGACATCAATGGTGAAGAATGAAGAGAAGGTGCCGGGCCCGGCGCGACAGCACAGTGGATAAAGAATGAAAGGAATACAACCTGGCCATGATCGGTGAAGGCT